AGGGGAGAGAGAGCGCGAGAGAGAGAGATAGTGTGTGTGTGTGTGTGTGTGTGTGTGTATGAAATATGGCCTGCGCCCTCTCCCGGTGACACATGTAAACTACACGGAGGTCATTCCATGAAATGGGCGCTTTTTCCATTTTGAAAAGGTGATTTTTATGAAATTTTATCAGATAAACAATGACTGAACTGTTGTGTTAGTTCATTAAGACATTTTGATATATGTTGAGATATAGCTGTGCCTTTAATAAAGCAACAGGTTGACGAGAACAGGGTGACAAATGTAGTTAATTAGCCATGCTCAAGGCAAGGTCATGATACTACAAGGTGCTTATTAGAAAGATAAATTATATATTAACTACTCGGATAGAGAACAATTAAAAATAGTTTTAAACATCCAAATTATGAACTTTTGTTGTTATGAAACTCTTTGTGCTTTAAAGTCACCATGAAATCAAAATAGAAAATTCTTATTTTTTAATGGAATATTGTAGTGTTATTATAAATAATTTATCTGTGAACGTCATTATTTTTTTAAAATTAATGTGCCCTCGTAATCTTTAATCAAAAACGTTAACCTCCCCTCCCCTCAAAACGACTCATCCTCTCTTCTGGTCACGAGCAATGGCACAAGGGCGCAGGTAGTGACGTGAGGGGTAAACGACAGGGGGAAAAGCTGAAGCTGATGGCTGCATCCGAAAACTGAAAAATGCTGCCTTCGGAGGACGCATTCCAAGGCAGGAAGGCATCAAGGCACGTCCGAATTCAAAGTTAGCTTCAGTTCCTCTCTCCTGAGATGCCTTCATCTGGCCGATTTTTGAAGGCAGCATAGATGTATCCTTCGCTGCCTTTGATATCCCATAATCCTGTGCGTTCCATTCTGTGACAGTTAAGATAAAAAATAAAGATGGCGTCTGAAAGTTGCGGTCGGTGGTCAGTTTGTGTGTAAATGTACGTTTTTGATAAACGTTTTCCACTTTTGATGTCATTTCTAGCGAGAAATTAATATTGCAGTAATGAAATATTCACTTAGTTATCACCAAAGCTCTCTATATTTTGCTGTAGATCATTAAACCGTTACTCTGCCTCAGAAGCCTGTCCGAAATCAGTTTCATGAGGTGCCTTCGTGCAAAAACGCTGCCTGCAAAGTTATTTCCTCATACGGCAGCGAAGCAGCAAGTCAGCTGCCTGAGTTTTCGGATGCAGCTGATGCTTCACGAATCACTTTATAGCACTGACACCAGTCATGAGGGAGTACGTTACCCCTAAACATTGAAAAGATAACGCGCTCAGTCATTCAGGCAGTCTCTCTCTCTCTCTCTCTCTCTCGCTGTTTAGACATGTTTTGTGCCATTGATCGTCGTTGTCATCCTTAATAAATAAAACATTTATTTAAATAATGTCAACTAAGTAAATGCAATGATATTTATTTATATTGATTAGTGGGCTCCCCACTAGCAGCAAGACACAGTACCGAGGGAAGCAAACTAATCATGGATGACAAAGATGAGCACCCCCCCTCAAAATAAAACCCTACATTTTTTAAAAACTTATAATAATTTAAAGCCTTAATTATTATTTTTTTTTTTTAACTCTGCCAAAATTGATTTTAAATGTTCACTTTCATTCATGGAGAAGAAGGGGGAAAAATTATCTCCTGGTGGAAAACAAAGAATTAAGATGAAAATGACATGACATTACCATTATATCCAGTAGATGGCAGCAAAGGATCACTCATTAGCTCAGTAGCCATTTCAACTCCCTAGTTTTTCTCATGTCTTGCTTTTGGATTTATTATAAAATGTCTATGAGTCTCATATCATTTAAAAATAAGTAAATAAATAAATAAATAAGCCCAGACATCAACAGCCTACTATTGTAAACTTTTGGTTTCCCAGTAACCATATTAGTAATTGGACTATTACCAGTAATTCATCTTGCAAATGATTAAACGAAAATAAGCTGGAATTAACAATGAAAACATTTGTTTGTCATATCCTTCCGTCAATCTTATTTCCATCATTTACCGCTGTCATATTTCCTCTTTTCCTCCTCTTCTTGCTTTTTTTCCGCTTCTGGCTGGCAGACGGATAAGTCCTCTTCATGTTTAAATTAGCAAATGCACGAGTAAGCGCTGTGCCAGTTTGAAAACGGGGGCCGACGCATCACGAGGAAAAAGCAAGCACATCCAGTGTAACGCGAGAGGGGGATAAGTGTCACATGATCCTTCAGAAATCATTCTGATATGCTGATTTGATGCTTAAGAAACGATGAAAATGATGAAAACAATCATGCTGTTTAATATTTTTGTGGAAACCATGATACGTTTTTAAGGATTAAACTATACGATTTTTTGAATATTAAGTTAAGAAGAACATAATTTATTTGAAATAGAAATGTTTTGTAACAATGTACTGTCACAAAAACATGCATGAAATACCTTAAACTTGGCACATGGATTCTCATCTGCTCCAGCAGGGTTCATGCCTGCAAAAATAATTTTTTCCAACTTTTTGAAGCAAATAAAAAACTTATGTAAAAATTTTAAACTTTCAGCTAACAATAATCTATTTAAATTATGTACCTGTAAGAAGATTTCTTAAGAATCATTTTAAAAAGAAATTTATTTACATTCCCTTTATGGTTCAAACTGTTATAAAAAAAGTGTTTCATTACACATAATGCAGAGCAAAGGGTTTGCAGTCTTAAACGACTGACAACATCACAAGAATATTCATCACAAGACAAATAAACTGAAGTACTTTGAAATGACACCCACACAAACTTAAAGACAAGACGCACAACAAGAGTAACATTTACCTGATTATTCTGAAATCACAAGACAACAAGTTACTAAATGTGACAGCAAGATCAAAAACATAGTAAATAGAACTAGCAAACAGGCAAACAATACACCATTTTAATTATTCATATCCTAGCACATACTGGGAAGAGGGCAAATGGGACTGGATATTTTTCAGTGTAGGCCTATTTTAACTCCAAAAATGCATTAATTCAAATCATCTGCTATTTTTGTTTGACCTCTGAGTATATTGTAACAGAAAAACAGCATTTAGATGCTGTATTTCTGTTCCTGAAAGTAAACACACAAAAAATTATAATAATTAGGTCAATCTTTGACTATTTTTGCATTATTTGCTTGATCTAAAAATCATTTTTAAAGAAATACTATCTCATTTTTTTGTCCGCCTTTCTGTCGATAGTGACAAACACAGCCTCCTTGTATTGACAGGCTGATCATCTGGGCCTGCTGGGTTGTAAAGCACATCTGTTTCAGTTTCACCAGCGGTTACCAAAGCATCTCTTGAATTCTCTGAGCTCTGAGTGATTGCAGTACATACATAGTTAGCGCACATCCTCAGACCACCACTTCATTCACTCTCTTAAGACCATGGAGAGCATTCGAATTGGTCACGCCGATAAGAACTCCACTGTGAATAAATCCATGGATCAGTGAATCCCTCGCTGAAAAGGACATCAATAGTTATGCATGCTAAATCAATCACATTTAATTTTCACCACCACCATCATCAGAAAAAAAAACCCGAAGAGCAAAAGATCTAAGATTCAAGTACAGCTAGATAACGATATCTCCAAGCGAGTGCTTTCTTGTTCTATCTCTCCGTCATTTCAAGTATGGCATCTTTGAATCCTCCTGCTATGGTTTAGCCTCGGCTGACTCATTCACAGTTTTAATTCCATACATCAGATCCGCCGCTGAGCCACATCAGGACAAGCCGAGGCGAGTGATGCATCATCAGGTTGAACCTCTGGCCCCTTGCACAGTCCCAAAGGAAAGAAACAGTGACACACTCATCAGAGTCAATCATGAAACACTCAAGCATTCCTAAGAATGACATTCACTCAGATTGGAGTTAAATTACTGTATTGCGCAAAAATTAAGAGTAAATTAATTTCTCATGGGAAAAGCCCTATTGCAGCCCGGTCTGCCTTTTGTTTTTGCCCTTTCCTCTCACGCAGGCCTTGATTTATGGCATTGCTCATTGAAAGTGGGAGATTGAAGTCATAGAGCACTTCCCATCACGGCCGCACCACTGACCTTGACCTCAGACACCGCCGGGCTCTCATCTGTCACAGCGCTCGCATCTGTCAGTATCCAGGCTGCTGATACGGATCCTGTGCTTATAGACAGGGATCTTTTTTTATCCCGATTCATTGATTCGCTGAATAATTTATCATCGTTAATTTTCCCTGACAACTTGTTTCCTCTCTTGCTCATGTTTCCTGTGACGGCTAGGCCCGAGTTCATTCTGTTTTTGTTTGCATTTGCTCTGACATTGTGGGTTATGAGGCGGCAATGTTTCCAGCACCTGGAAGAGATGCTTTTGTATTACAGTTTTTCTCAATTGCTTTGGCTAATTTTTGTCTTGACATTCTTTAAACCGTAAGTGCAATTGTCACAGCTGTTTTATTGGACATCAAAACTCTATTGCATGTCAACTATGTTGCATGCCAATGGCACCAACATTTTTTGTCATCATGTGAACCATATGGGTCAAAATGTTTAGATGTTTTTTCACCATGGCAGTCAATCCTGGAAAGGTTAGTTATAT